AGCATACCGTTAAGGATCACTCTAGAGTGTTTTGTTGGTGATCTATTCACTTTTAAAACGTGATCGGCTACCTAAAACGCCAATACCGAAGTATTGCGAACAAGGCGGAAGATATTGTGCAGTTTGCGAAGCCACTGCGTACACCCGGTTGTCTGTCACCTTCGACCTACTCCCCAGCAAATCGTCAAAGGTTCCCCGCTCAAAGTTCCATTATTTAGAAACGTCGTTTGATTATTGAGACTTCCCCGTAATGTCACGTTGCCTGTATAAGCCACTTACGTTACTTACGTTTCAGTAAAAAAGATTATTTTCACGAGAAACGATAAAACATAAAACCAACACTCTCGAAAAGTACCGTATGTCAAAATGGCGGACGTGGAAAGGATTCATACCTTATGCCACGTATAGGGCCCTCAAAATTCTCCGATTGGCTAAGCTAGTCACGTGACGAATAAAATTCTCAATGATTTGCATTTAGTTCGGTAGGTGGCGATACCAAGAGAACACAGTAAGTCATCAAAAATTCCAAAGTGTATCGGTGAATAAATGCTGAACTGATCATAGAAAGGCCCACACTCATGAGAGCGAAATTGTATTTTTTTTTTAATTATAAATTCCAATAATATAATTATAGAAAAACGAACTATTTTATCAATGACTAAGATTATATAGTTATGAAGTTACGTTTGTGCTCATATTATTTTTTATTTTCTCGTGAATGAATTAATTATATAGTGTTAATCAATTGTTGTAATAATCGTAATTCTATTCGTAATACGATCGTAAATATTCGTTAAATTAATAAAAAACCGGTTTAAAATTTTCAAGTGCTAATATGTCGAGTTAAAATGTTTCAATTCCTGTTGTATTATGTTTTATGTAACGTCATGGAATTATGTTATTGGTATGAATATTTATATTCTATTTTGCATATTTATATTATAATTTAAGAGTATAATCCTTACTAATAACACTATATAATATTTTAATTTTTTTTTATAAACCTTTATTATTTTCAATCAATCAATCTAAAGTAGAAATATAATTATTTATCCTTTTATACACCTGGAGTATGATATTTTTCATCTAATGTACCCTCTCCATAAAGTTGACATTCTTCTATATTATATGGGATATCTGTTAATATTTCTAATGTTTCAACTAATTGTCCTGGTTTTCTGTATATACAATAGTTATTGAATATAATGATTAATATAATGAATAATAAAATATTTTTAATTAATTAAGTTACTTTGGTTGAAAAGATACTGTGATTGTAAAATAGCCATTTTCATGATTGTAACGATTTGATAATGTTCCACATTTTTGATCAATCATAAAATCATTGATCTTAAACTTTTTATTTATTTTAAAATTTACATTACATACTGTAAAAAATTAAATAATTAGATTTAATTAAAATATATTTATATTAAAATAAATATTATAATATAATTATTGAAAAAAATAAATTTAATTATACTTGACAAATTTTTGATTGTTAATGTTAATTTCTTTGTATCACCTATGTAAGTAAGACCAAAATCTAATGTATATGATGATAATTTTAATATTGGAAACCATATTTGTAAAATTAAATCTATATTCTGAAAATACATAAATTTAATGTACAATTATTTAAATTGAAGCAGAATAAAAAAGAAAGATAATTAATACCTCTATATATTTATCAGAATATATAATGTGTAATGATTCTTTTAATGTGACTCTTGGGTGATAAAAATCTTGATTTGTATTCAATATAGTTTTAATTAATTTCTCTCGTACAATACATATTATTTTTATCTATAAAAAAAAGTATCATAACATATAAAATTTATTTTTATAGATAGATAAAAATAAAAATATTACTTCAACATATTCATTTGGATTTATGCATAAAATTCCAAGTTTACATTGATATGATTCTGTATATATTGCAATACATTTAATATAAAATGGATCACATGTTTCCACAAATATTTCTATTGTATAATTTTTATTATTATATAATAATAATTTTTTTGTTAATCTAAAAAAAATATTAGATAAAGAATCCAGTATATAATTTCTGTATTTTTTTAAAGAAAAATATCTGTAATTTTATATTTGTACATACTTTATTTGTTTTGTTTTACTTTGCATTACTTCATTGGCACAACATATAAATGTTTTATCAAATTTTGAAATATTGAAGTATAATCGAGGTTTAGTAATATTTGCAGTGATATCAATTTCTATAGGAGAAACATATTTTTCTATCTGTCTAGCATAATAATTATCTCTATACCTGTTATAAGAAAATATCTTATGACACTATAAATTTTTAATATTAATTTATATTATTAACTAGTTGTACAAACATATCGCTTGGTGAAATTCGTAAAAATCCAAGAATTTTGCAAAAAAATTCTCCTTCAATAAACTTATCCATTTCCTTGATATATTTATATTTATCAAGTTGTATATTAATAGTTAGAGACATACTACTTTTGGGTGAAATAAACATTTCTTTGGGAGTAACCTTTAAAAATAAATTAAAAATAAAAATTTTTTATCATATTCAAGAATATGTATTTAAATATCTTCTTACTTTGCAAATTTTTGTATTAATTAAACCATAATAAGGAAGTATTGAAATTTTTAATTCAATGTCATTTACATTTGAGTTCTTGCATTTGAAACAAATTTTACAATCATGTTTACACTTGGAATACTTATTTATTAAAATTTCATTATTAGATATTGCAGATGAAGTTATAAATGAGGATTCCCTAAAATAAAATATGATTTTATACTTTTAATAATTACAAATACTGATATTAAGAATATTTACATATAACTAGATGTTGTAGAGTCAATTATATCATTAATTTCAATAGAATCACATGTATTTAAATTCTTTGATAAAGAAAAATTTGTATGTTCTTCTAAGTGTATTTCACTCTCAGTTTTTTTATTATTTAATCTTAGTTGTGATGCTAATTTGTCAGTAAATGGAGTCTGGATGCTAAATACTATATTAAAAGGCATTTTTTTTATAACTGGTTTAACTAAAAATGTATGCCAATTAATAACTATAGGTATTACACTTGTATTTGTCAATAATATTTTTCTGTCATTTAGACGCATACCTATAGCTTCATTTCCATATCTACAAATATATATTTTTCAGAATGAGAAAAAAATTTGCATTTTTTCAAAATTAATGAAATATATATTTGAATGAAACATACTTGATGACAGGTATATTAAATTCATTTCTATCAGAAATTGATAATGTAATTGGTGATCCAACAACTTGTACACATATTCCTATGGTATATTTTGGTAAACCAATAATATTTATTTCTAATTCATCCACATAAATACCCCATGTATCAGCGAAAACATAAATATCCACAGATATGGCTTTGAAAGGGCCAATATCTGAATTTAAAGGATCGACATAAATTACTATACCTGATCCAGATTGTTTCGCTTTATATAATGTTTCTTCTATAAAAAATAATATCTTTAATTAACTTGATTATTTCATAAATAAATGATATGTTACCTACTAATCCTTTTTTTGGACCAAACACTCGCTTATAAATAGATTTAATTAGATTTTTTTTTGATTTCCATTCACATGCACATCTGATAGGATAAAAATTCTTAATACTAAGCCAAAAATTAGTTGGAATTGAAGTCTCATTTTTTATTATAAAAGTTTTCTTTTGCACTGAAAATTATAATTATTTTTATTGGAAATATAAATTTATTTTTTTCATTTTGAAAAATATGTTTTTTATCTTAAAATAAAATAAAAGTTTAAAATACCTGTTCTTAATGGTAAATTTAAAAATTCTATTACAATAGGTTGTGTAATTAATGGAAGATATCTTTGATGAAATGGTATGATATTTCCAGAGGAAATTGTATTTTGTGAATAATTATTATCAATTTGTACTTTCTGATTACTTGTCTATAAATTTGATATACAGATTATAATAATATTATTAATATTTTTTTTTTTTTTTTTTTGAATTGTCAAAGACTATTGATTACTTGAAAACTATTGATTTCAGAAGTATTCGGAAAATATTCGCTTGATTCTTCAGCAACCATTTCTTGTATCAAAGGATCGGTTGAAGCATCTTTAAGGATCTCTCCTTGATCTAAATCCATGTTCATTATTTCTCGTTCTTCTCGATTTTTATACTTGTTTAATATTTTCTAGAAAATTATATATTAATATTAATTATTCATTTTTTTATAATGCAATTTTTTTTTATAATTTAAAATATTAATTGTTAGTTTACAAAATAATTTAATTTTATTATTAAATAGGTTTTTTAAAAAGTTTCACAAAAAATTATGATTTTTGACAAAATTTGAATTAAACATACCATATATTTTTTAGATTTTCCTGCCATATCAAAAGCAAATTTAAAACTGTCTGTCCGCCATTCGATTTTAACAAAATCATTTTTTAATTCTAATGACATTTTGTTGTTTAAAGGAAAATAAAACGTCACATAAAGCGGTTCAATAAAACACTCAATTCCTAACATTATTATTTTATGCAAATCTCCTACAAAACATGGTATAAATAATGATTGTACGATCCCCTAAAAATTAAAAAAGAAAAATTAAATTATATTTTTAAAAAATTAAATAAATATCGAACCTCTTTTATAGGCGTAATAGTTATCTCCATTTTTTGGATATTTCCAGCCAATATTTCTCCTTTTTCAGGACATACGCAAAGTTTTATTTTTGTTGAATCTAAACCATTAACTTCGCCCCATAAATAATTTAAGGGACTATTAGCGAGATTTCTTAATATTAAAACATAAGTTTCTTCTATGCCAATGTATAAAGTCCTGTTATATAATATAATAATAATTTTAATAATAATTTTAATAAAATGATATATTTTTTATAAATATAAACTATTTTAAAATTTTATTTTATTTTAAATACATGCCTTGTAGGTCTGATGATACCCATGCTTATTATTTTTTCTTGCCATAATGGTTCGAATTGTTTTAGGTTTATCAGATCGAAATGAGAAAATAATTCATCATTTATCTATAATATTATATAGATTCGTATAATTTTATAAAGATAAAAATAAATGAAAAATTAATAAAAATCTTACTAATTGAGATGTTGATTTGTATTCTTCTTTAAATTCTATTTCGCTTATTTTTTCTTCTTTTTCTTCTTCTTCTTCTTCTTCATAATCTCGTTGAGAATATTTATAATCCGATACTATGATATATTTTGATATTTCTTCAGTTTCTTGATAACTATAATATAATTTTAAATTAAAATATAATTTTTGTAATTATATTTCAGATTTTTCTGTATATTATTATAAAAAAAAAAGTGACTATGATTACGATTTTTGATAAATATTGCAGCAATTTAATTAGAGATCAAATTATATATTGTTGTGTTTATTTCATTAGAATTTTTTTTTCGGAAAGGCTTATATATACATATATATAAACGTATAATTAATACCATGAAAATCTTAAAGATTATAAATTAATATTAAAATCAACCCACATTTCACTTTTATCATCCATCATGAATTGCAACCAAATTTCAACATCGGCAACCCAAATATCTACGGACTAACGACAAGTATTTTTTAAAAAAATATTAATATTTTATTAATATAAGTTGATCAAAAAAAATTATGAAATAATTTACTTTCTTGCATTTTCGCCGTTTCGTAGTGCATTTTTTAGTTATTACTTTTATTTCATTTGGAATCGCCTTGATCGGTATATCTTCTACATATAATCTAAAATAATTTCAATTTAAAATTACTTTTATGTTAATCATATTATTATTTATGATAATTTTTTTTTTTAATCACAGACTTACTGTAGAACAGCAAAATAATAATTTGGCTGTAAATTTGTATAATCAGCAGTTACTGTGAAATAATGAATAGAAGTTGGTGCAAAAATTCCATGATCTGGTTCAATATGAAGAAGTTGTAATGGAAAATAATTCTCTTCGTTTATTTTATGATTTTTTGTTTGCACATTTCGTTTCTTCCAAGAAAAATACATGCTTATCTCACTGCGCGAAATAATTAAAATTTGTGATATTTTATCAATAGATTAAAATAAAATTTTTTTTTTTATTAAATTTATAAAAAAAAATTATTATGTTATACCTAATATTATTTATGGGAATAATACATTGTCCAACACCATCAGGAGTATCAGTGCTTAAGTTTATATAATACTTCGACTTTTTATCTATATCTCTTTTAGATGATTCTATTTTTTTCAAATGCTGCAATTTTATTTATTTTCTTATCTTTTCATCTTTATCATAGGTATGTAATTTTGTAATTTATGTTTAATATCATGATTATCTTTAATATAGTTACATGTAAGGAATAATAAAGAATTTTTAATTAAATTTATAGATACTTTACTAAATTGGATGAAATTTGGATCATATAATAATCCATCTCCGATTATTTCTGTTGTAAGTAGGGTACAATTACTGCATAATATGTATATTTTTTCCACCTGTTAAAGTAAATATTAAAAAAAGTGGATTGAATGAAATTAATATAATATAGTTATACTATATATATTATATAAGTATAATATAAAAGTGGTATATGTATACTGATTGCGAATTATTTTTAATTTACATGAATGCCAAAGCATTCTGGTGCAAATTTCATATGGAAAGTCATTTCTTCGTTTTTATTCAATAAAAAATATATTGGCCATATAGTAAAACATGGTAATTTCAAAATATTTTTCTCTATGATGTCCTGTTAAAAAATATATAATGTATGAAAATGTATAAAATATTATTAACCGAGTTAAAAAAGGGAAATGATTTTACCGTAATGTTCATGGAGAACCAATCGATTTCACTTATTATGAAAAAGCGTCCATTTCCACCGATATTTTTCAATTTTATAGGTACATAAACTTCCTCTCCAATAAAACCTCTTTTGCAATCGAAAATCATGCTTATGAAATTATCGCGGCTTGTCAATGTCAATATAGAGATGGTCTTAGTACTTTCAGTCTAAAAATTAAAATCATGATATGATAATTCTTTATTGTTCGAATAGGCGACGAAAAATTTCTTATGGTCATTTATTTTAATTATATTTTTTTATGTATTTTTATTTTTTATGTTTTTCTTGTTTAAATATTTAATTGTTTATTAATTGTTTAAATATTAAAAATGGCTAAAAACTAAGATAAAATAATATCAAAAAGAAAAAAAATTTATTAAAAATAAATACTAAGTTTTTATTATAATTAATAGAATAACTATTGCCAATTGAAACCATAAGAAATCAATTATAAGATTAGAATAATCGTATTATTATGTATATCATAATTATTATGTATCGTACAGAAAATGTATTTAAACTATCGAATGACATTTCTATCTCTGGCTGCCAATCTTGATTTAATTTCATATTCGAATATTTAAAAGGTTTTTCATCTAATTGACAAATTCCTATTAAAAAAAAAAGAAATTTTATTTAATGAAACGGTAAAACATATTTCTATTTTTTATATTTCACTTTCTTATTTCATTATTTTTTTATAAATAAAATTTTGTACCGAGTAAATGAGGAGGATCTTTGTATCCATGCATTCGAATGATTAATGGACTTCCGTGTTGAATCTTTACTATCAATATCTCATCTGGTGTATCGATTTCATCACAACGGAAGAAAATGATCAATTGTATTGTCAATCCCGGTGGAATGATATTTTTATTTTCGACCACAGGTTTTATCATAATCCAAAATTTAGAATGATAGAATGGCTGTTTTCTTAAAAGATATCTCACAGGCATATTACCAATATTTTTTATCGTAATTATTTTCTATCGTACAAAAAAAGTATCAATTATTAAAATATTCAATGCAAAAAAAAAAAAAAAAAAATCAAAACCAACCTTATATACTTTCTTCAGTTCGAAA